TCTTTGTGGATAAGAAGGATGGTAATCAACGGATGTGTGTGGATTACCGTTCACTTAATGAGGTTACAATCAAGAATAAATACCCTTTGCCTAGTATTGATGACTTGTTTGATCAATTGAGAGGAGCCTATGTGTTCTCCAAGATTGATCTCCGCTCAGGATACCATCAGCTTAAGATTCGAAACTCGGACATACCCAAGACAGCATTCACTACACGGTACGGCTTGTATGAGTATACCGTTATGTCTTTTGGATTGACCAATGCACCTGCATATTTAATATATCTGATGAATAAGGTGTTCATGGAGTTTCTTGATAAATTTGTGGTGGTATTCATTGATGACATACTGATATTCTCCAAGACCGAAGAAGAACATACAGAACATATAAGGTTGGTCTTGCAAAAGCTTAGAGAACATAAGTTGCACGCTAAGCAGAGCAAGTGTGAGTTTTGGTTGAAGGAGGTCTCTTTTCTGGGTCATGTTGTCTCCAATGGTGGAATAGCAGTAGATCTAGGCAAAGTACAAGATGTGTTGAATTGGAAGCCACCAATCAATGTAAGTGAGATTCGTAGCTTTTTGGGATTGGCTGGATACTACAGGAGGTTCATTGAAGGTTTTTCCAAACTTGCTAAGCCTATGACAGCTCTATTGGAAAAGAATGCCAAATTTGTATGGTCTGATAAATGCCAAGCAAACTTTGATGAGCTAAAGAAGAGATTGACTACAGCTCCAGTATTGATTTTGGCCGACTTAAGCAAGAATTTCTCTATATATTGTGATGCATCCCGTTTGGGCCTTGGATGTGTGCTTATGCAAGAAGGAAGGGTGGTGGCATATGCATCTAGACAATTGAGGAAGCATGAGTTGAATTACCCTACTCATGACTTGGAATTGACAGCTATGGTTCACGCTTTGAAAATCTGGAGATATTATCTAATTGGGCATAAGAGTGATATCTATACGGATCACAAGAGTTTAAAGTATATCTTTACCCAATCAGATCTGAATCTGAGACAACGTCGTTGGTTGGAGTTGATCAAAGACTATGATTTGGATGTGCATTATCATCCGGAAAAAGCAAATGTCGTAGCTGATGCACTTAGCAGGAAGAGTTATGCTAATGGACTTGGGATGACATTTATGTCAGCAGAGTTGTGTGCTGAAATGGAGCATCTCAACTTGAGTTTTGTCACTAATGCAATGGAATTGGTGATAGAGCCTACATTGGAGCAAGAGATACGCAAAGGTCAATTGGAGGATGAAAAACTAAAAGAGATAGCGGAGAATGTAGTGCTTAGAAAGGCACCAGGATTTAGGATGGATGAGAATGGTACTCTTTGGTTCGGGAAAAGGATATGTGTACCTGAAGTGAAGGCTATCCATGATGCAATTCTGCAAGAGGCCCATGTGTCTGCTTATTCCATATATCCCGAAAGTACCAAGATGTATTTGGATCTCAAGGAGAAGTATTGGTGGTATGGTTTGAAGAGAGATGTGGCAGAGTATGTGGCTTTGTGTGACACTTGTCAAAGAGTGAAAGCTGAGCATCAAAGACCTGCGGAGTTGTTACAACCAATGAAGATTCCTGAATGGAAATGGGAAGAAGTTGGTATGGATTTTATCGTAGGTTTGCCCCGCACTCAAAGAGGTTATGATTCAATATGGGTAATAGTGGATCGACTCACCAAGGTTGCTCACTTTTTACCAGTCAAGACTACCTATACGGGTGCAAGACTAGCAGAGTTGTACATGGAAAGAATAGTGTGCTTACATGGTGTTCCCAAGAAAATCGTGTCGGATAGAGGTACTCAGTTTACATCGTAATTCTGGCATAAAGTATATAGATCTTTGGGAACAAAGTTGAATTTTTAGGTTGGATTAAAAAAAATCCCCTCAGTATGTCCCACTTCAAAGCTCAGGTCTAAGGCTTGGCTTTTCCTCGTTTGTCCCACGCCAAAGCACATCCCGTGACAGTGAATTTCAGGCTGGGGTTAAAAAATGCCCTCGTATATCCCACGCCAAAGCACAGGTCTAAGACCCAGCTTCGGTCGTGGTCATTCTCACATGGACTACGGCATAGAGATCTTCTTCTTAATGCAATACCAGGGGCTGTCTTACCCCCTCTTGTTGAGTTTTTTTAATCTCAATTTCCAAAAAAAAAAAACTTGTATGTTAACTTCTGTATTTTTTTTGGGGCTCTGTTGTTGTTCACCGGACGGTCCAATGTCATCCATCGCTCATGGACGGTCCGTGAACATAGGTTTCAGGCCTGTTAAGTTTGCACAGACATGACACTTATCGAACGGTTTGATAACTTACATCGGACGGTCCCATAATCCAATGACACCTATAACATTTGGCAATTTGGCCTTGTTGTCTCTCTCTCCACTCTCTCAGACCAGATGCCATCCAAACTCACTCACACATACACAACACTCCCACCTGCCCTCTCTCCGATCCCTCACCCCATCATTTCTCTTTCACGGAAACAGAACCAGGAAAAGAGAGATGAGGAGAAGAAGAGAGAAGAAGCAGAAGGAGAAGGAAGAGAAGAGGACGATGAAGGGAGGAGAGGAGGGCCTCGCTAGAGCTTCACCAGAGGTGCACCTAGTGACGAGCTGCACCACAACGTCACCACCGGAGTTGGAGATGGAGCCCAAAAATCTTCCTCGAGACCATGAAGGCATACCCAAGGTTGATCTCCCTCCCTAGTCGACCCCGAGACAAGCTGTTGTAGGCCGGTGATTTTCATAAGCGTCCGTTTTATTTACGAAGACATCCCAAAGTTGTCCATCTCTGAAAATAAATTTACATAGGCACCCCAAAGATGAGCAATCCCCAAGCCTTCTCCCCCTCGACCCCCTCTCAATCGGCCTCCCCACAAAGCTCCATGGCCATCGTGGTCACCACCATGGATGAGCTAGAGCTTCCCACAATTGATGCATGACCGAGCCATACCTAGATCGAATTCCCCATATTCCTAGCAAGCCACAACAACACACTTCACTCGAATCGGTGTTCCGATGCACCTGAAATTGTTCCCAACATATCAATTCTGTGTGCTGGATGAGTCCCGTTGGACAGTTCGATCCACCCTCGCCGACGAACGGTCCATCCTTCACACAGCAGACGCCCTACATACATGCAATTTGTTGTACACTATGGACTTGCCAAGAAGAAAGCAAAGACACCACATGTAAACTACGAAAGTGCAACTTGCGCACTATCATTCCGTAAATATATTTCAGCAGCCAACTTTTGTGTTCCTATTCTGATAGCAACAGTACAATGCAAGACTAGACAGTTTGGAGATTAGCAAAAAAATTGAAATGAAAAATGATGTTGGATACAGAGCAGCCAAATAAACAAAACAAATATGGACCCATTGTTAAATATTAATAGGCAAACGATTGGTGCATAGGGTTCATAATGAATACAATTGGACCTAATAAGAACAAAGTAAGCAATACCATATTGTTATAATTGCTCATGTTTTCAACTCTTAAGTATTAATCTTCATATGAGCTTTGGCCAGTTTGGTCGCCAAGAAGGAGATCCCCAATCATGCATGGTGTGTAAACGAATGACTCATATATACCATTCGAGTGGTTAAAACCGTAACAATTTGGGCGCGAGTTACCCAGATATTGAATCCTGGTGCTATTCAAATGATAGGCAACAACTCTAAATGGTTCAACCATAAAGACAACTTCCTTGTAAGGATGGAATCCCATAATGTGTAGATATCGGCTGTAAAAGTCTTCCAGGCTTTCAATGTCAACCGTAAAAGTATCATCATTGTCAGAGTCCCACTCATAACTCTCTTCTGATTGAGATTCAACATCGTCATCAGTGTCGTGGATATCAATACTTTCTTCGACAATCCAAGATCCATCTGGTTGTGTACCACTACGATCATAAGGGATTGATGCTACATATTGAGCATAGGGCCCAACCTCAGCTTCATACTTCAAAAGCCACTCCATTTGACCACACGATTCATTAAGAATCCAAATCTTTAGTTGTCCATCATGAACTATTCCAAAACATACACTATCATGTAATTTCCCCAAATATGGTTGTGCGCACTTAAGGTTTGTTGGCATTTCAATTACTCCATAGTTACTAGTTGACAATGAAAGCCTGTAAAAAAAATTTAAACTACCATGTTACTATATGATGTATTCATTTGATTTACTGATCTAAGTCCATCTACAACTAAGTAATAGTAATAAATAATTAAACCATTTAATTATAATAATGCACGTGAACATAAATATTTTTTGTAAAACCATATATAGCAACTAAATGTATGGCGATGATGAAACATATATGGAAGATAATAAAATGCCAAATTGTCTAATTACATATATATAAGCAAACGGGGGAGTTATATGTTTTTATTTTAGAAGATTCTAAAAAGATATAACAAAGCAGGGAATTACCTAACTATACCAAATATCTTTATATATGTTTTTCATTTAAACTATCTTTTTTTAAGCTATAAGAAACTTCCTAATATGCCAAAAATGATAAACTGGAGTAATACACAAAGAATGAATTAAAAATAAATATTGTTGATACTAAACTAGCTCCTCGACAGTCATGCCTGAGAAAAAAAAAAGATGAAATTAAAATCGATGCATACCTTGTTACAAAAGAACCTCGACAGTGCACATAGAGCGATCCACTATGGTAAACGGCGTATGGCCATCGTGCAAAATGAGATGTCCGATTCAATCGCATTTTCTCAACTGCCCCCGCCGGCGTGCCTTGCCGGACAAAAGCCCTCTCCTGCCATTGACCTGTCCTCGACGAAAACACGCGCAGCGCCCATGGCGTCGGTGGCCAATCCATGAGGCGCCATGGATCGATCTCACGTTCCACGTCCTCTTCTTCCACGGACGGCAGCTGCCAAAACTCCTCGTCATGATACACCTCTCTTTCTTCTTCCTCGCCAAATGCTGCACCGCCGCAGCCGCCGTCCTCTGAGAAGAATCAGTCCAAGCAGAAGGGCTCCTTCTCCGCCTTCCGGCGGTCCTCGCGAGAGGGCGCCTCCGGCACGTCGGGAACCAAGATAACCTGGTAGTGTGGCGACGCAGCCGGATCGAACGCAATGTACGCGCCGGCATAATGACGATGCCATCTGTCATCTGCATGCCGGCCGGGGAGCACCGTCCACCGACGTGTCGCGGGGTTGCACACGCAGAGCTCGGTGCTCCACTCCATATCGCAGAGGAGGAGGCCGCTGCAGTGGTCCAGGACCGACCATGAGGAGCTCCAGCTGTCGGCGTTGGGCAAGAAGCTGAGCATGCCGTCTACTCTGGGAGTCGTCGACGACGAGCAGAGACGGGAGAAGTGGTGCGGGCGCTCGTGGTCGATGTAGTTTATGAAGATCCCTCGCACGGAGCGCGGAACGAGATGCGGGAACAGGAGCGACCGGGTGTCGATGATGTCGCGCCACGCCTTGCAGACGCACCGGACCACGGCCAGGCTCCGCAACGGCAAGGCACGGAAGACGCCGGCAACGGCGTCGTCCGGCAGCGCCGCCACTTCCGTTGCCATCTAGTATTCTAGGATTAGATGGGTAATGGATTCGTGCAGTGTGCGACGAGAGGAGACGGCGCTGCTCGTGGCAATATATATATCTGGATCGGAATGGTACCTGATGGGCCAGCCGTGGGCTGAAATATAGTCAATCAAGGTTACATTTTCCTGAACAAGGCCGGTTTGAAACGAGTGGGTGTTCTTCTTTATCATCATCTCATAGGTTATACCTGATCTACTTTTGAAATATTTAGATGCAACACTTGCAATATACAAAAGAAGATAGATGAAACACTTACAAAAACACTTGAAAAACACTTACCATTGCGAACATAAGCAACATCCAGATAAAACACTTACAATATATCAGTGAAACATATGTCACATCCAGATAACATATATTTGCAACATACGTCTGAAAAACAGATGAAACATTAGGAATAGACGCTTGCAACATATGTGTACAAACAATTACAACATATGCAACATCCAGATCTACTTTTACAACATTCGTCTAAAACACTTGCAACATACCTCTAAGACATTTGAAACACTTGAAACATACGCTTGCAACATGCCCTTTTAGTGCAACATCTCCTTGCTGCATGGCAGAATGGAGGCTCGTCGGCGCGGAGTGGCGTGGGGGGGATGCTAGTGGCTGGGTGGGCGGATGCAGTGCCCGGGTGAGTGGCCCTGGTGGTAGGGAAAGGTGAGCGTCGAGAGGACGGCGCAGTCGAACGGCGAGCTGTTGGTGAACTGCGGTGGAGAGGGTGGAAGGCCGACGGCAGCGCTCTGGTGCAGTGCAGAGAGGGGATGGCAGCCGACCGGGCCGGTGGCGTGGCCATGGTGGAGCACGTTGCGCCGGCGTGGCGAAGTCGGGCGAGTGGAAATGACGTTTCTGGAGACCGCTGAAGACGACGGCTAAACGAATAGAGTTGAGGCGAGTATGGACATTCTAGTTGGGCCGTTCGGGCCACCATGGCCCATGGCAACATGAGCGTCCGGCCGTCCGGACGCTCTGAGGAGAGCATTTCTGAACTACTATTCTTTTTCCTTTTTAGTGAAGGACTGGAAACTTTTCATCTATGTCGCTAAACGCCATTCATGAAGATGAATGAATTTCAGAGAGTAGTATCTACTTATGAGCTTGTTCTGAGATTCGTTCCTGGAGGATTTGAAGGACGTCAGATAATGGCAGGATCATGTTATGTGTAGCAAACAAAAGATACTTCTTGTTGTGAGTAGTCTGATCGTGAAGAAAAATCATATATCCACTCTAAACTTTTGTTTTGCGGATCTATTTTTAGAAATATAGACAAATTTTGACATGAACCACCACAAAAATAATTTTAAAAGATAGCTCGCTTCATTTTTGTTAGAAAATAGGGAACGAAAGAGATCAAGTGATGCAAATGATTCTTCGTTGTATTCCTAATTAACAGTGTGTACATATTTACAGGGTCCATGTGGGCGGTTACAAGTGTGAAAGAGAGAGGGGGTGAAAAGATACCCTTTGGAATAATCCCTAATTGAGCACTAAATAATAATTCTCAACACGCCCCTTGATCTATTAGCTCCTTGTAGTTTTTACTATTTATCTATTATGCATCTTTATGAATCTTTGGAAAACCCTGTGGGAAAAACCAAAGTAATACTGGTATACGAGGCAAAACTCCTTAAAACACTATGGGAAAAAATAAAGAGAAACACCATGATATACAATCGCCAATGTTATTAGACCCTTTGAGATAAACCTAAAGCCTTAGTCTAAAAACACCTTGACCATAGGGTCAATATGCTTCAAATATCATCTTCTAAAAATTCAGTGGGGAAAATAGATGATATAGCATATACCTTTGTATTGATATTGCATCATCAAAAAATTTATATGAGAATCCATAAATGAAAAACTCACATAAAGAAAAGAGTACAATGCATCTTATGTCCCAATATCGTCCACCAAAAACCCCTGTGGGGAAAATGGATGATATGACATAACCTTGTGTTGATATTGCCTCATTAAAAACTTTATACGAGAAATCCAAAGGGAAAAACTCATACAAAGAAAAGAGTGCAATATGATGTTTGCAACAAGTTATTAATCAGAGAAACTCTCCCCCTGATACTAGCAAACATCAAAATAAATTTATACCAATGCACTTAACACATAAGAAATGTGGAGTATGGTAAATTGTGTGAATATCTCTGTAAGATTATCACGAGACTTAATTTGCAAATAATCATATGCCCATATTACCTATGGAATAGAACCATTTTAGTGCAAAATATTGCATTAAGTATAACTTATCTCCATCTACACAATACAAGTCGCATTACCTTTATAGATAATGACCATTGATTCATAGAATCAACACCACATAACTTCGGTATGTGATATATCATTCTGTCAAGCTATACACATTTATGTGAAGCCTTGTACAATACAATGTCAGAATGATTAATAGAATTGACCATTAAATATTTATTTAAAGACTATCACAAAATGGTCTTTCCATATTCATATAAAACCTATTTCAATGATCTGGAATTTAGGGATCTTATAGATAACCAAAATTATTATATCCAACTGGATCATGGATTCTTTTAAACGAACATACCAAGATCACTTGTGCTATTAAGATATCGAAAAAGATATTCTTAACTTCAATCCATCAACATTTGGTAGGAGTAGCGCTGCTACTAGATAGCAAACCATTGCAAAAATAATATCTGGCCAGAAACTTTTGCAAGATATATTAGCGCATAAATAGCACAGAGATAATGGACCACATGTCTCAATATCTCCTCTCAATCATTATGGCATAAAACAATCTTAGGCCTTGTTTAGTTGGCAAAAATTTTTGAGAAATGGTACTGTAGCACTTTCGTTGTTATTTGGCAATTAGTGTCCAATCATAGTCTAATTGGGCTTAAAAGATTTATCTCGTGAATTTTGTCTAAACTGTGTAATTAGTTTTATTTTTTATTTATATTTAATGCTTCATGCATGCGTCCAAAGATTCGATGTGACGGGGAATCTTGAAAAATTTTGCAAAATTTTGGAAACTAAATAGGCACTTACTCTATCATGAGGTAGAACAACCATAGGATACCTTCATATTGAATCACTCAATATGATCTGGATATAGATAGCTTTTTGTATAAAATCCTGAGGAAGATGCTTGGATCATAAACATAAATGAAATTTTGGTTTAGTCCGTATCTTCCATCTCAAACTCCGTCTTTAAATTACAACGTGCTATTAATATGTGTTTGTCACTAATGATGTCAAGATTATTGACTATCATATGACACTATGAAACCCAATCAAGGACTTTGAAATGAACACGTGTAATCAATTTTGTATCCCTTCAGTTTAGGGAATACACATAAAGTCAATTGTACCAAATTTGACTTAACTTCTTTAAGCCATATATTGACTTAAGCTATACACAATATATGTTGCGATTTTGTATATGAGGGTTGGGTATGTGAAGTCCTTCCCAGAAGCTTCACAAATACACCAAATCAAGTGATCATATAAATATATATGATCGCTACATCTATCAATTATCAACTGCTAAGATAGATGTTTTTGTACTGCCAATCAAAAGATAGTATCAGAAATTTATAACATACTATGGAGAATAATTTGCATTGAAAATCAATGCATGGGCTTTACGTAAACCCCTTGTGCTACTAGTATTGCTTTGATCTCACCACCACATTGTTCTCAATCCATTCCAGGACAAAAACATTTTTTTACCCATAGTAAAGGTACCATGAGGTGTTGGCATCACAGCCCAAAACACCTCTTTTCTAGTGAGCAAGACTATCTCTACATGTATTACATCACTCAACAAGTTCCAGTAAGAATGAGCAAAGCACTACCATGGTCTTATTGACTAGATGACTTGGAGTGTTGTATACAGTTTATTCAGAGAAGTACATGTCGACACATGTAGCCTTTCTATGATATAATTCTCTTGTTATCAAAATTCAAAGTACCATGAATGACTCATCGTGACTTTCCAAAACGAGAGTCAGGGCTTTTCGATATCCTAGCATCAGTATTTAGGTGCACCTCTGAGTTAGGTTTGTGGATGACATCCATCCACTAGGTAATAATTAATATTTACCCACAAGGTGTCGCCAATCATAGGTTGATCTCTATTTACTATCTTAGAAGGAAAACCTTCTATTGCTAGCATGAATAATCCTACTTTATGGCCATACTTCTCCCCTCTTATTTATAATTGGGAGTTGAGTGGTTTCACTTGGTACTACTACTCTTTCAGGCATATACTTGCAACGGATTAATAGGTTTAAAAGATACCTTAGTAACCAGTAAAAGCATTTGGCAGTTTATTTGCAATATTATGCAAATCAATAATTCTTTGAACTCAAAATTTAGTTCATTTAGTACGTGATCCTGAGCTTGAAATGTCTTATGCATTCCAAATAATTTCCTAGCATTATATATAGTACATCAAATCTCCCCTAATGCCTGGAAATGACATTATCAAAATAAAACCAGCATATGAGTCGTAAATAGATCCTCCATAAGAGATCTAAATACTTAACAATCGATGGAGATTGAAATCTCACATTGATCCCTAGTTTCCTGTGTGTACCTATTAATGTATGCTGTGGTGGTGAGATTAGTATGTATACAACGTACTCAATCTTACGCAAATAGAAAATCTTCATGGATTTCTACGTACTAAATGCATATAGGGGATATGCAGTTAATCACAAATCAGGAGTGTGTAAATCTACCTGACCCCAACACGAAGTTGGCAAATAGCAATTTAGTAATGATGGTCCTGCTATGACCTTGTCATACTCATAGATTCCATTTATCCATTTGGATATGTAACTAAACTTTTGGTATATCAAGCAATTGTCATCGTAGGCACAAAAATTCAGTAGTGTTCAGGATAATGAGCTCACAACATGAGCCATTATTTACCAAATGCATGGCCAAGTGCGAATACTTCACACACTCTAGATCATCT